GTGGTTATGTAGCCCCACCTGAATTAAACAAACCCCGGCCACCTGTAATAGGGGACCGGTGGTAATTGAGGGTTTTTACAGGCGGGGCCGGAGAACGCGCAGGCGGCGAGGTCAAGTAGTTGTATGCAAAGGAAAAGCGATTGGGAATGCGCGGTTTTACTTTGAGCGGTTGAGAAATATTTACCCTTAACCCTAACCAGTGACCCTAACCCCAACTCCAACAGTATTTTGTTCCTCAGGTGGGACTACATAACTATATCTTACCTACATTAGCAGCACGGAAAACCTACTAGAACCGAAGTCTCGATGCACCCGCACCCAGTGAAAGGATCATTTTTTTGTCTAAACGGTCTGCGCTCGCTCGTTATTGCGCCACACGAATAGGTTGTGCACTGTGGAGTGAAAGCCCGACGGCTGAATCAGTCAATTGAGAATTCTTCCTCCGTCGTGATTGTGTCTTTGAATACTTGGACATCTTTTTATGCACTTTTCTGACGTAGATTCTCGCGACTCGAGTTTGTTTCCTCCTCGACCAAACGGTGGGGCCTGCGTGTTGACTTCGCCATTTAGAAGATTGCATTTCGTCTCTCTGTGTTCTGTTCTCCAAGCGGTTTATATTTACTTTCAGGAATTCCTGATCCAGTTGGAGGGTGGAAAAGATTTTGACAACCTCTACGATGCTGTCTACAGTAAAATGATCGAGGGCGAGCTAAGGCGGTTGCACTACCTCCGGCGATCGAATTTAACAAAATCCACTGATCGAGATCAAGCCAGTACACACTACTGCATGTGCCGCCGTTCGGGTTTCTCCGGCTTCATGTTACAGTGCGAACTCTGTCGCGACTGGTTCCACCCTAAGTGTGTTGGCTTCCCACTTAAGGTAGGACTGCATTTCCCACTTTTATTTCTTTTGTTTTTTCTAAATTATTTTCATCTGGGTGCTTTTTGTTGTCCTACACCCGCCTCTGTTAACCGTGAAGACGTAGACTCCTGACGTCACATTGAGCTCTTGTTGACCTATTTTTACTGCAGAAATTAATGCAGAAGATTGCAGAACCCCAGTCTAGAGTTGTCGCAGACGATCACATAGGGGCAAACGATTAATAGTCGGAAAAAGTTGCTCACATAAACAAGGGCGGTTGAGTGGTCACTCTTTAACAGTCGTTCATACCCCGCCGTGCAACACGACCAGCCGACCTATCGGGGCTCAAATCGCAAGTCTGGCTGGCCCGAGATTGGGGTAGGTGCGACTGACAATGAGGAGTAAACCGCATCGTTCCTTGCATGGTGAACCTCCCTGAATTCAGGGAAACCCACTGCTGCACTCTGGGTGATCAACAGATGGGAGAGTTCCGAGACCTATTGGTTGCATAAGCCATCAAGGAACCAACGGTCCTCTGATCAAACGAAGATTGCCACACTTTAGGGGGTCTTGCCACAGCAATGAAACACAGAGACGCCTTCGGATATACCATCTTCGGTATCAGTTACCGCTCCCGTATCTCCAGGCATTAAACCACGACTAAGACGCCGGGCCAACCGCGTGCGCCGATCAACACGTCTGATGCAGGTCAACCCACGCCAGAATCGGTACTGACCTACTTGGAGGGGAGGTGTTGGGAGTGCCTACACTTCCAAAAACAAGAGCCAGCCAATCACGGGAGGCCACGTGCGTTTTCTCTACTGCGCTGTCATCTTAATCGGGGCGCCTCTCCATTGGCTTTCCCTCGCGGGCCTGATCGATCGGCATATTCGAATTATCGACCGGCTCGTCTCGAATGTTCTTCCCGAAGGGCATTGGGCCGAACGCCGGCGAAGCACCGTAAGGCCTTATAAATACGCGTTACTTCCCGTTCATTTTGACTTGCAATTTCCTAATACACAGTTTCGTGGCCGGTCGCGTTCTCCTTCTCTGCCGCGTTGGTATTGGGGACAAGGGTCGAGTGCGCATACGCTCCACAGGATTTCACGTACCAGGCGGGTCATAACACTATCATTAAAGAGACCTTTGATTTCCCGAAGACGATCAACACTGTCCCACAAATCGAAGGGGACACTATCGTCGGTTTGCCACCACAGTAGGCAACTATAAAAACTATTTTCTTTTAAGCTCCAGACTCTGACGAAATTCCCGCCGTAGATCGCAAATGCTCAAAAACTTGGTCCATCCCTTTCAGAATATATTGCGACGAGGAATTTCACAAGCCTTTACAGACGCCACCGCCGTTCGCCTTTGCACAGATAAACTGGCCGATTTACAACCATCAATGGATCTGTCCTCATGAAATTGTCGCTTGCAGTCCGGTAAATCAATTGACCCTGACTTGGAATAAAAAATCCCACAAGAAGTGCAATGAGCATCCGACAACTCGTGCAGTGCCGCCATTGTGACTTTCCGTTTTACATCTGCAAAATGCATGCCTCGCAATGCAAACCAACCGGCTATTTGGATAAAAAAGAAGCACTTTATAAGATTCCATGTGCCACTTCTAGTGCTGTATATTGTGGTCAAGCCGGGAAATCCGCCTCCACATGCCTATATGGACACCAATTAGCAGCAAAGAGGCGGGACCACTTATCCTAAATCGCCATGCATACTCTGGAAACTGGCAAAAAATTGTTTGAGATAAAACACGCACTGTTGGTTCCTACGCATATTTGAAAGGCCGAGAATTTCTAGAGGTCATTCACTCTGTTGATTCATGCATCAATCGGCATATTTATATCGACGCCATGTACACAAATCTCAAAAACTGGAACAGGTGATAGCCAATCAAAATGTGACCTCAGCCCATAGCATCGACCCATCCTCAGCACTGATGAAACAATATCGATTTTTCGGGCATATTTAAATGTTTACTGTTTTTCATATTTTCTACTTGTCTGACGATGACCTGGGGAACCAGCGTCGTAAATTTACGAAATGAAGTTTGTTAAATTTCCCAACGGACTCCATTTTCTTCGCAATGCAATATATATATTACAAAACTTTTAAAAAGGATGCTTTCGTTTTGCTGTTCGAGGACGATTTTTAATCGCTAATCGTTTTCGGATTTCCACTGGTTGTTCCGGTTGTCGTGCTCGAACTGTTTTTTTCCCAATTACTAACTTCTATAGTATACCGCCGTCCCCCTCAGGGAGAAGAGCGCTCGTTCTCTGATTTCAAAGCGTAAAAGCCAGCGCCATCGGTTGGCATCATCACTCTTTCTCAAGTTAATTCCTTTTCATTCGAGGCACACTGACAGGGAGTAGGCATTCGTTGTTTTCAAGGGCCTTTGCAGGTTCGACTGACAGCATACGACAACGCAGGACACGAATGCAGCGCTACTATCCCAGAGCGCATTATTAAATCATCTTTGTGTGTTATAGGTCTTTTGAAACCGTCTCAAAACCTGCCTTGTTATTCCGCGTCCTAATTGACCCTTTTAACCTTCAGCACCACCATTGTTATTTCTCCATCCACTTTCAGGACATAGATGTCACCCGTCTGCGCTACACCTGCC